TTTTCTAATCACACGCAGATTGCTTTAGGCCTCATTTTTTTTTTTTTTTGAAGATTAAGACGTCTGAATCTGAATACATATCTGAATATGAAGAAGTGTATTAAGATCAAAATATATGAATTTGAATACACATCTGAATATTAAGATGTGTATTAAGATCTGAATACTAAATCATTAAGACTGTTTTTTTAACATCTAAATATATAAAATTTATCTTTATTTAAAAATTAATAAACATAAAAATTTAAATAAAATACTAATTAATCTAAGAGTGGTGGTTCTAGGTAGTAGCTAGTGGTGATTGGTAGTGATAGCGATTATGATTGAGGATGGTGGTAGTGGATGGTTATAGTTAATAATGGTATGTGGTGGTTGTGGTTGTGATTGAGGAAGGTGATAGTGGGTGGTGGTAGTTTATAATGGTGGACAATGCCAGCTATGATTATTGATGGTGATGGGGTGGTTAGTTGTGGTAATTGAGGTGGGTGAGTGTGTGGTTATGGCTGAGGCTGTTGGTGGTAGGGGTGATGGGTGGTGATAGTGGTGGCGGCTATGGTTGAGGATTGTGGTGGTGGTGGTGGTAGCAGTTGAATAATGGTAGGCGGTGGAGGCAGTTAATAATGAATGTGTATGATAGCGTCTTAATGAAATTAAGTTTTTGCTATAGATCTTAACCATGGAGACCTATTCAGATCTATTAAGTGATTGTGAAGTAAAAAACAAACACACTTAATGATTAAGATCTAAACGGTTAAGATTCAGTCTTTAAAAATAAATGCACTTAATATTTGAGATCTAAATAATCAAGATTCAAACCTCCATTAATTGCAAACAAACGAGACCTTAGTTTCATTAAAAATTAGATCATTGTTTTGTTGTCCTTGCATCCCCCAATAACCTGCATCTCCGACTTTACTGCTCGGCCACTTCTCCCCTACCGCGCAAAATTGTCAGGGAATTTTTATGTACAAACTATTTTGATGAAAGTAATTAACTTTGAGGAAGCACTTTGATGTTCGATTTTTATCTCTCATTCTTCTGGAGTATTTTCCACCATGGATTTATTCTATCAAAAGTGTTGGTCATATGCAAAATTTCTTCTTTTCCCATTTAACTATAATGTTCAACTTTATTCTTTTCTGTCTTCTTTATTGCGCATATAATGCTATTTTACTTATATTTTAGTTACTGATAGAGTCATCCCTAGAATTTAAAGAAGAGAAAAGCAAGTGTATATATATGGTAGAAAACACATACTTCTGATTACTTCTTTGTACGTGGAAGTATACATTCTCTGCTAGCTACTAGATATATATCAAGATGATGGACTAGGCAAGCAACTACTCCTAGAAAAATTATGTTCTCTATCGAGTTTGATGCTCAAGTCCTTTGCCTTACTAGTATAAAGTCTTTTGAAGTTAGACCGTTGGTCTTTTAACAACCTCACAAGACTTCTCTTGGCATTAGGTCTAAACGGACAATCAGATGCCAAAAATCCATCCACCAAATGTAAATATGCCTCTAAGTCATGGCAACATGCAACATCTGCGTCAGGCTTCAAAAATGGCGACATTCTCGTGTCAACTCTGAATTCAGTACCAACGTGTGAATACGCCCACGGCATCCTACAATCTAACATCTCTAGCACGCGACCTGCTCCTGATTCTCTAAGCTTTTTGTCTAGCTCTTCGCTCACAAACATGCCTGGAACCCTGGTGATTACGTCTTGATTGTTCACAATACGTAACACCTTAACATTGTTCGCGTTAAGACCATCCGCAAAAACCCGATTTCCTACGCGAGGGCCTCCAAATGAAAAAACAGCCACTGGTGGTGCATTTGGTGCACATGTACTTACATCATCAGCTACTAAAAGAGCTAAAGCTGCACCAAGACTATGCCCAGTGACAGTGATGCTTAGAGGCTCACCTTTATACTGTTCAATTAATCTTTGTACTTCGTTAACAACTGATTCAGCTAAACTTGGGACATGTTCTCCACCTGTTTTATACAAACTCAAGAATCCACATTCCACTTTAGATTGTCCTTCAGCTAAATCATCATTTTGTTCTACTAGCAAGGCACGAAAATTCTCAGCCCATTCTAAACACGTGGCAGTACCTCGTAACGCAATAACAATGTCCCTCCTTCCCATTCGTTGAATCTCATTCCTGTCCTCGCACACTGCCACATATCCAATCCAACTAGACCGTTGTGTCATCCATCCAAGATCAGGTGACACGTCATCCACCCACGTAGGCAACCCAATGGATGAAGTTGCATAAAGGTTCTTGGTCACCTTATACGACCTATCGGGCAATGCCACGTGTCTTGCGGACAATGGCCCCTCCTCTGCTGATGTGGCAGGGTTGGAGTGGAAACCATGATAAGCTGCTTGAATGAACTCCCCATATCGAACCAATTCTCGCCGTAGATTCTCATCTAACGGATCAAGTAGACCCAGCCAGTTATTGCTGCCGTGGTATTCCTTCCACCGGCTACAAATATTGTTCCTAGGAGAATATTCCATTGATTTGGAAGATAAGAGTCTTTTTAATCTGTTCAAACGCCTTGGCGACATTTCCTCAGCAGCTTTCATCTCAGGCCAAATACTAGCCAAATTTAGCCCTTCCAACAAATTTCTTCCTCTGTTTTCTAATAACCCATTATTACGAGATTCTTGAACCACGGGTTTCGAATCAACTACTGATGGGTTTGTATGAGATTGCTTTTGAAGAAGCTTTTCAAGATTGGAAATGTGTTTTTTGGTCATCTCTGTGGATGATGAGAGTGTTTTTACAGTTTGTACATTTACAGAAGTAGCCATTGCAGAAGGGTTTAAGGGACATCCATTGCATTTTAAGCTAACTCCCCTTGCCTGAAAAATACTAAGATTGGTTGCCGGAAGTGCTGCTCCGACTTGCATGGTTTTGAGAGAGAATGTGGGATGGATTTAGAGAGAGAAAAAAGTCAATGAGTTAGATTAAGGTTACAGAAAGAGACAGCTACTTCGTTAGTTAGAGCTATTGGGTTGAGCTTGGGTATTTATAGAGGAAAAGGTTTAAAGGCAAAAACATAAGTGGCACAGTTCTGAGTAGGTGAAAAATTAAGATGGACGGCATTTGTGTAATTACAACAATGAATGAATTAGTAGTCATGATCCTCATGGCATTGCCCGATTAGTGGCTCTCTTTACAGTTTCCATTGTCAATTTCAATGTAAATATCAAAAGTGCCCTCTATGGTTGACAAATTATCACAAGCGGACAAGAAACGCCTGCAATTCCTCTACTTCTCAATTTCAACGCACCACATGTTTTACACCTCCGACCCATGTTGCAACAGATTTTTGCAACAACTTGATTATTTATGTAAAATAATAAAACATGATTCTTCATTTGTTATATATACTACTAGTTCATATGATACTATTATAATTTAGAATATTAAATCACTATGGTTTAACACTTTTTGTTTTCATATACTCCATCCGTTTCAATAATGTTCCCTTTTTATATTCGGAAATAGTTTACCTTTACGTAATGATTTATAGCCACACAAAATGCATGTGTCTCATTTTACATTACAAGTTCAAAAATCTTCTTTTATTTTCTTAAATTTCGTACCTAGTCAATAGGTTCACATTAATTAAAATGGATGTAGTATGTTTTATAATAATATTAGTTGAGAAGTGTGACATATAATGATTTTATGTAGCCTTAATTATCTTATTTTGTTTAAAAAATACCAAGAAATTGACATCTGAACTGAATATAAATAAAAAATTATAATGTTTGGCTTCATATATAATTTGAGTACCTTCATGTTTTTTTTGGGAAAAGAAAAGCGCATTCTAAAATAATTAATTACCACAGATAATCTAAAGTAAACATCACATCAAAACAAATTATATGGAGTATTTTTTTAGTATCTAATTAAATTATAGTCTCTAAGTACAAGCCATTACTCTCTTCAATAAAATTTCTCTCTTTTCTCTTATCAAGACACAACAATTCAATATCGTAGAATTCTCATATCAATTACGTAAACCAGCTTTGGTGTGTTGACGAGACCGTATCCACTTTCTGCATGTCAAGAACCTTAACTCATGCCGAGATAAAACTTGAGGCTCACCACAAATAATTAATGTTGCAAACCTTCTATTGCGGCAACAATGAGACGTTTGGAAAAGATATTCAATTATTCAAGTAAAATACCTATTTTAAGTAAATATTTTTACTCCGTAGGTTCCTTTTTACTTGTCCACTTTGTATTTTGTACTCTGTTTTAGAAAGCATTAGTTATGTGTTTGTTTTACGAACTTATGCTTTGAAAATCCAAATTTGACTACTAATACCCTAATAAGATTGGAAAATAAATACTTAATGATATTGCTAAAAAAATCAGGAAATGAAAAAAAAAATTCTCATAATCGAGAAACTGAGGGCGTAATAATACATGCCTGTAAAACAGATAACATTTGGAGGCCCCTGACGGCGCATGTTACGTTAGGATTTACTAACGTGCGCCCAAGCGGAGATGACGAGGAAGAAGAAGCAATCAGGTTCGGCGCCGGTCTCACCAAAAGCTCCGGTGCTAGAAACTAGGCAGATAATACCAGAATCAGGCATTCCCCATATCTTAGCACCGATTCAATTAGGTCACTGTCTCCCAGGAATGCAGAGTGCTCCTACAGTGTTACAAGCAGGACCTCCACCGGAAATTGCAGAAACTCTGCCGGAACTTGATGCAGGAGCTACGAATGCGGCGAGGAAATTGACTTTCTCTGCAACGTCTAGTGGAATTAAACCTACGATGGCTGAAGTTGTTAGAAAAAATAGAGAGCAACACACGGGATTGAAGCTAAATTACTTTCCACTGGTACCGAAAGATGGAGTGAAAGTAGCTAAGTTAAACCCCCAGGAGATAGCTGAATAGAATCAGAAGTGGAGTCTAGCGTTAATTGGGTATGTGATTGGTGGGAACCCTACCTTCAAGAAAATGCTCAAATTCGTGTATGGAGTATGGAATTTTATCAGTACACCTCATGTATTTCTCCATAACAATGGGTATTTCATCTTCAAGTTTGAGAATGAGGAAGATAAAGCAGCGATTCTTCAACAAGGGCCATACACGTTCAATTATAGGCCTTTTATTCTGAAACAGTGGGATCCAGAGTTCCAAATACACAAGGAATCTACTCAAATTGTTCTGATGTGGGTTATGTTTCCAAATATGCCAATCCAATTTTGGGCTCTTGGCAATTTGGGTAGAATAGCAAGCTGTCTTGGGAATCCTATATGCACAGATAAACTAACTTCTCAAGAGCAAAGGGTTGCTTATGATAGGATATTGATAGAGATGGATATATCCCAGCCTCTGCCAGATTCACTTTCTCTTGAATTACCTGACGGAAAATACTACTCACAGTCCATTGAGTATGAATGGAAGCCTATGTACTGTCAAGATTGCTTGAAAGTTGGACATATCACAGGGAATTGCAAGGAGAGACCAGCGGAATATAAACAGCCTCAACAGAATATTAAAAAGAAACAAAAGAAGCTAGATTGGAAAGCTAAGACTATGCCTAATCAGACAGGTGATAATCAGAACAATGTGCTACCAACTGAGCAGGGTACTAGAAAGGAGCAGCCTAAGAATGAGCAAGCAACTAAAGGTGATGGGCAACAGCAGAGAAAACAGATTGATAGGGGAAAGAGAATCATGCCAGTTACTACAGACAAAAACCAGGAGATTGATGAACTGGAACTGATGCTTAGAAGAAATCAATTTAGTGCTTTGAGAATACACCCAGAGGTAACTACTAGCAATGTGGTAAGGGACACAAATCCAACCAAGCAGCCTCCATGATCTTTGGAGCATGGAACATTAGAGGGATGAATAAGCCCTATTAGCAGAAGGAATTCAAATCCTTTCTGCTTACGAATAAAGTGGCTCTTTTGGGCTTCCTAGAAACAAAAGTTAAGGCTAGAAGAGCAGGGAAGATACAAAAGAAGTTAGGGGCAGAGTGGCAGGTTCACTGTGATTATGTAGGCTGCCCAAATGGAAGAATATGGGTCTGCTGGAAACCACAACTGGTGGAAGTTGATGTACAAATTTCAGGACCTCAAATTGTTCACTGCAAAGTGAAGGATAAGGGCTCTCAATTTGCATGTTATGCAACATTTGTATATAGATACAACACCATAGAAGGAAGGAAAGACATCTGGAGATAAGTGAGATCAATTAACAACCTGATGGTAGATCCTTGGATCATTCTTGGGGATTTCAATACAATATTATCTGTTACTGACAGAATCAATGGAGCACCAGTTCAACAGATTGAAACACAGGATTTCCGAGATTGTGTGGATGAAGTTGGGCTTGGTTAGATCATAAGAAGGGGATGGCGGTACTCTTGGTGCAATAAAAGGGATCCTGGAGATAGAATCTATAGCTTGATAGATTGGGCATTAGGCAATGCTCAATGGTTTAGCATGTATAGCAGTATAGAAGCTCACTACCTAAATCCTGGTTGTTCAGACCACTCCCCTATACTACTAACTACCACTATTGTCAAACAAAAACTTCCAAAACCATTCAGACTCCTCAATGTCCTGTTGAAGCAACATTCATTCAAAGAAGTGGTGGAATCTATATGGAAAACCAATATGGATGGTTATGCTATGTATGGAGTTTGCAGGAAGTTAAAGCAAATAGAACATGTTGTAAAGCAGATGAATCAAGAAATGAATAAACTGGATCAAAAAATTGAGGCCCTGCAAGCAAAGCTTAAAGAAACTCAGGAAGCAATGATAGCAGATCTTTACAATGCACAAGTGATTATAGAAGAGAAAGAGATAGTGCTGGAAGCGGAGAAATAGGCTATAATTCAGGAGAGAGTCCTTAGACAGAAATCCAGAGTTGTTTGGATCACACGGGGTGATTCAAACTCCAAGTTTTACTATGCTCAACTCAAAGCAAGGCATGCCGGGAACAATATTGCAACTATATGCAATGACCAGGGAGTACAACTAACAGATCCAAAGCAGGTACAACATGAATTCATAGGTTTTTTTCAAAACCTGATGGGAAACAGAGCACAAGAATTACCCTGCTTAGACACTCACATTGCCAAAGATGGCCCTTGTTTACAGAGGGATCAACAAATGCTGCTGATTCAACCTATCACAAAAGGAGATGTTCAACAGGCATTGAAAGAGCTACCAAATGACAAGGCCCCATGGGTAGATGGATTTAATACATAGTTCTTTAAAGAATACTGGAGTGTAATAGGGGAGGAAGTAAGCATAGCTGTCCTACAATTCTTTGAATCTGGGAAAATGCTGAAAGAAGCAAATTGCACCACTCTTACCCTAGTGCCAAAAGTAACCAATCCTACTTATGTAAAGGAATATAGACCCATAGCTTGCTGTACAACTTTGTATAAGTTGATAGACAAGAATTCTCACTCCCAGGCTCAAATTAGTAGTAGACAAAATTGTTGGAGCCTCAATCAGCATTCATAGCAGGAAGGAGTATCCTAGACAATGTCATTGTTGCACATGAGCTGGTAAAAGGTTATACGATTTCTCCTAGGTGCATTATTAAAGTTGATATCACAAAGGCATATGACTCAGTCGAATGGGACTTCCTTAGAGCTGTCTTGCTAGAATTTGGGTTCCTTGGGAAATTTGTTGGATGGATTATGGAATGTGTGACTACTGTGAGCTATGCCATCTTAATAAATGGTGGAATTACTCCAAAGTTTGTGGCAAGTAGAGGACTGAGACAGGGTGACCCCATGTCCCTATATCTATTTGTGTTGATCATGGAGTATCTTAACAGATCCTTAAAACAGTTGCAGCATAACCCGGACTTCAATTATCACCCCAGATGCAGTAGATTGAAGTTAGTGCATATATGCTTTGCTGATGACTTGCTCATGTGTTGTAGGGCTGATAGAACTTCCATACAACTAACGCTTCAAGCTTTCAATCACTTCTCTAGTGTGCCTGGATTGAAGGCAAATTTGGACAAGAGTTCATTATACGTTGCTAGGGTTCCCCAAGAACTGAAGGAGCAGATTCTGAATGAAATGCAGTTTGCACCAGGAGAACTACCATTCAAATATTTGGGAGTTCCACTCTCATCCAAGAAGATCACTATTCAACAATGTATGCCAATTGTGGAGAAAATGATATCAAGGATTAGGTGTTGGACTACTAAATTCTTGTCTTATAGTGGAAGAGTACAATTGATCAAGAGTGTTTATTTGAAATGCAAACATATTGGGCTCAGATCTTTGTACTGCCAAAGAAAGTTATACAACTAATCACAAGCATATGCAGAACCTTTTTATGGACTGGGAGCTGTGAAGCATCTAGGAAAGCATTGATCTCATGGGAATCACTATGTATGCCAAGGGCTGCAGGGGGTCTGAAATTAATAGACTTCAACTTGTGGAATAGAGCAGCTGTCTGCGAGCAGCTGTCTGCAAGCTGCTGTGGGCAGTAACATTAAGGAAAGAATCCCTATGGGTGCAATGGATACATGGTTACTATATAAAGAACAAGGATCTAGCTACTATGAAGACTCCATCACAAGCTTGCTGACTTGTGAGGAAAATCTTTGATGCAAGAAGCTGGTTTGAAGACGGGGACTACAAGGTGGAATTGGAAAAATACAGCAGTAGTGATGGTTTCAGCATTAAGAAAGCTTACCTATCATTCCAACCACAATATCCGAAGGTTCCTTGGAAAAATCTCACTATGGGGGCAAGGCAGTTACCTAGACACCAGTTCATCTTATGGTTAGCCATTAGACAAAGACTTGTAACTGTTGACAGATTAGAGAAATGGGGGATAAATGTTCCAATGGATTGTGTACTATGTTCCATGGAAGTTACAGAAACTTTAGCTCATTTGTTGTTTGAATGCAACTATGCAAGACATATATGAACCTCTTTACTGAGGTGGATGGGAGAAAATAGACTACCTAAGGCATGGAATGAGGAAGTGCACTGGATGTCCAAGAGGTGTCGAGGAAGCAGAGCTATAGCACAGGTGCTGGCATGGTTATTTGCTGCAACAGTCTACCACATATGGAGTGAACGAAATGCCAGAGATTTCAGAATGAAAGGAAGGAAAGTCATCATAGACTTAGAGAAATTAGTCTCCAACTACACATTAGAGGACAAAATTACAAGAATTGGAGGAAGATATTAGATGGACTAAATAGTTATCCTAGCTAAGGGTAGATAGTTTGGCTGTAAATACAAAAAGTGAATACTCTTAGATAGGTAGAAATAGAGATGGCTAGTTCTTGAGTCCAAGTGGAACTAGTGGATGTAAATATACACAATTGGTTCAATAAATTTTTTATTTTGACCAAAAAAAAAAATATGCCTGTAAAGTAGGCATCAATAGAGTAATTACCTGTTACGATCAACTGGCTCTATTAGCTTTCATATCATCAAGCTGGATTTCGTTTTGCTCCGATTTTCTAATCTCAATTACCTCTAAAGATCTTTTGAAACAGCAAAGATTTTCTTGTATTCTGAACTTTCTACATTTCTGGTAAAAAAATCATATTCTTGTATGCTTTATTAGGTGTTCTTTCAAACAATATTGGGTCGGTGCTTTATCAGATTACACATTTATAAAATGGGAGTGTACATATATAGGTCCTTTTCCCTTTCAATTAGATATGCGTATTCATCCCAAAACACATGAATCACAAGTTGCTCATTTTTCCCGAAAATATGCAACACTTTAAGCGAGAGAAAATAGTTCAACTGTAGTTGTTACTTTTATTGTAGCTCGGACTTTCACTTGTTATATCTAAATTTTGTGATATTTGACTTCGAATTATCATGTATTATAGTTTTAAATTTAATCAAGAAAAATCTTTAATTATCGCTATTCAGTTAGTTGATTAAAATATAATTATGCAGTTGAATTCAATCCTTATCGATAAGCATATATAATGCAATTCACGTTCAAACAATGCGTGAAAAGCCTATATATTTGATCTTTCTTGAGAAATTTGAGGAGCATCTCTATCCACTGACAGTGGCACTTATGAAGTTACCCAATTAAAATACTTTTGAAGACCACTAGCAAGTACTCCCTCAATTCACCTTTACTCGTACACTGTGCTAAAAATATATTTTTACTTTACTTGTTCACTATATTAAGAGGATATTTGGCTAAGCTTATAAGCTGGTCAAATTGGTTTATAAGTACTTTTTGGTTTATTTACGTATTTGGTAAAATTAAAAATGCTTATAAGTTAAGTGCTTATAAGCCAAAAATAAGCCAAAAGTCATAAGTTGGTCTCCCCCAACTTATCAAATTTCAGCTTATAAGCACTTTAGGTTTGATCAAAATATTTACTATTCTATCCCTAAAATACTTCTTTTTAAAACAAAACTCTTTGTATACCCAGTTCTTCAGCTGCTTATTGTTAATTTCAGCACTTTTATCCAAACACGTAACTGCTTATTTTTTAAATTAGCTTCAGCACTTAAAAGTGCTTTTCAGCACCTAATGCTTATCAGCTACTCTAAATCAGCTAAGCCAAACGGGCTCTAAATCAAGATAAAGATAATCTTTTTTTTTCTTTCTGTTTTGCCCTTATCATTAACTATTTATTCTCTAATTAATTTCTCTAAAATCTTGAAAATGTTATCATTATTATGGCTAAAATCATAAAATACATACTCCATCCGGTCCACAATAAGTGACCAATTTATTTTTTCATTTTGGTCCAAAATAAGTGTCCATTTATAAAACCAAAAAAAAATTCAATTTGTTTTTCCAAAATTACCCTTATGTACGTATCCCTAAAAAGTCTTTTACTCCTCACAT